TGTTTCCATGCCTCTGTGGTCTCCTTCGTGAGGCTGTCACAAGATTGTACTTCCTGAACAGAACGGACATGTCAGTGATCCAAACTTCTAGTCTACAGGGAGTTAAATTGAATGCGTTCTTGCAAACCCCAAAACAATCTTTAAATGTAACTGTTTGCAGTCAGTAGTGATCAGTTCCAGATTCGAACTGGGGAAATGGAGCCAAATATCTTTGTATTTTATATTTTTAAACTAAGTAATTAACTGTGGCATAAAATGCATTTTAAATAAACCAGTGTGGGTTGCCTCTGATTCACAAATTACTGCGTTCGTCATGATTAATGGGGTAGAGAGCATTTTCTTTTAGTACTATGTATTTACTTCAAAGGAATAAGAGAGATTTTAAATCCTTCTCTTGTTCTCATCCATTTTTTATAGAATCCTGGAAATCTGACACAACCCACTCCCACCAAAAACAAAAAACACACAACCCGCCCTCAATTAGATCATCTTTATCCTCTGCTCGGCTGGTGCATGATTGTTCCCTACAGGACATTTCTCTCATTTCCTCCCCCGTGGAGTAACTGCTGTAAGTGCTCCTGACCAGTTGGAGGATTTATTAAGGAAGAGGCAAGAGGCAAAATGGTGAAGGCAAAATAGTCAGTGAGTCTCATGGCCACCAAGTAGGTAACAAAGAAAACACGCACAAAAAAGCCAGCGTATTTCTCAAGAAATGTCTCTATTTTCAGGAAAGGGCATAAGAGTTCTTCAGACAAGATTTCTTTTTCTTATACAGGAAATCTTAATGTATAAAAATACACTATTTAATATTTGGTTTGAAATATACATCAGCATTTATTTTCTACCACAGAATACTCATGCCATGCTATTCTTATGTTTTATTATGCATTTCTCATTCAATGTACTATCTGTCAACTTTCATACACACTTAAAAATCACCTCTCTCTCAAGAGGGGAGGAACGGGGTGACCTACTGGCAAACACACACACACACACACACACACACACACACACACACACACACACACACACGTGCACACACACGTGCACACGGATGCGTGCACACACACACACTTCCAGTACAGCGTACTCAGAAGTCATTTATTAGTAACCCCCTTCTGGAATTGTTCTGAGTCTGTACAGTATAGCTTGCCCATGGCTACACAGGCTGCTTCTCCTCTCAGAAGCTGCATGCGCGTGTATATGCACACATATGCACACACATTTTCCAGACTGCTACTTAAATCTGCATGAGCATATATTATTAAGAAAACACACAAAGCTCTCTCCTTTGAATTTGACAGTATCGCTATGGAACAATTCAAAAAGGATGAAAAATGAAGGTTTATTGAACAAGAGGACTGTCTGTCCATCCTGAAGAGATAATGAAAAGACATCAACATTTTTGAAATAATTAAGGCCACAGTGACACATGCCTTAGTTACATCCTGCACTGTACATGGGGCTGCCTGCCTTTGGAAAGTGTTCAGAAACATCAGTGGGTCTACAATGCTGCTGCCAGATAGTTAACTAGAGCCGGATACAGGGATCCCATAACTTTCCTGTTACAACATCTCCTCTTGCTGCTGCGCTGTTTCCAGACACATCTTTAATGTGCTGATAGAAACTTTGAACATTACTTCTAATCCTCTTTCCTCTTGACTACCATTTTAATTCAAAGAATAAATCTTATACCAAAATGACTGTAAATTTATAATTTGTCCTTCATGGAAAGTGTGTGTGTGTGTGTGTGTGTGTGTGTGAGTATTGTTTTGATTATGGTGGGACTGGTGAGACATAAGATGCCAAAGGTAGAGGACCACTGGTTTGTGCCATTTCTATCACAGGCACCTATTCATGGAGCATTCTGTCAAATGTCACTGATTGGAGATGGAGTTGAATGCAGGGCAGGAAGATGGATGTGTTTCTACCAGACCAATAACGTTAAAATAATGTTGATTTCACACTTTGGTCAGCAACGTGCTTCAAAGGCTCTTTCTCTCTTATGCCTGTCTATATCCACTGTTTAACGAGTCTTATCTTAATCTTACCTTAAGAATAATTCCTAATAAACTTCCTGGGAAGAAGGTTAGATTGACAAGTCTGTAATTTCCTTTTTTTTAAAAAATTGATGTTAGATTGGACAATGGCCCAAACCCAACTGATTTTAATGGTAAATTATCCATGTTAGTCAATATCTCTGACACTTTACATTCTAGTTCTTTAAAAGAACTTGGATGACAGCTGTTAAGACCTGCTATTTTTAAATATGTTAGTTTTAAATTAGTTAATCTGTTTTTGTAACTGATAGTGTTTATCACATGGGCAGGTATCAAATGATAACGCCGTCTTCATGTCTGGTTCTGAAGCACTTTTAGAAAAAATATTATTAACTAGTAGGTCTTCTGCAACATGATCTTTAAGCTTCTGGATTTCTTTTCAGTTTCCTAAAACATTTTATCATTCAGTGTTTATTCAGTACTGAAAACATGTATTATGTAGAACAGGCAAGTCTATTCCTGTGGGGATTTAATCTCACTGAGATGAAATTGAAATGCTATTCCCAGATTTGCCCTGTGTCTCCCTGGTACTCTTTCATTAACTCACTCAGTTATTCTGTGCCTCGGGGTTTTCATGTGCAATATGGGAATTAGTAACAATAATTAAGTTCCAAATCTACACATGTTTGAAAAAGCTGGGGGCTCATGATTGTTAAACCCAGCCGGCATAATCCCACTGAATGAATGTGACTTGATACTTCATGTCCTGCTGATTCCATGGTTTGACTTTGGCCCTTATGATCTGACCAATTAAAAGTCCAGAATTAAGTCAGAGATTCATTGGCATTTCTCTTCTCATGGAGAGAGGCACCTTGCTTACCGTCTGAGAGCATTTGCTAGTTCTGTAGTCAGTTCACTTTCACTGTGAGGTTTCAGCTCAGATAGTGTTAATGATGGTGAGGTGCCATCTGCGCACTCCTGGAAAATAAAGCAAGACAAGTGGGAATCATAAAACATTCAGATTAAAAAAAAATACTATTTGCAGTACTGTCCTGCTGTCCATTTACATTCACTCTCATGCATATATACTCCCTCTCTCACTATCCACGCATTATGCTTTTTGACATCTGCTTACACTCCCCACAAATACGAAGCTTTCTCTTCTTCCTTCCTTCTATATCTCTCATCGAACTCTCTCCCCGTGTCATTCTTCCCACCCCTTACATATACTTCACCACTTTTTCCACCCTGTTGTAATGATTACTGAACTCTGAATTGGAACGAAGGGAGTGCCTTTTTTTTTTGCCTTGGCTTTTTTGCAGGCTCCCTTGGGGTAAGCAGCACCATCTTGCTACGGGCAGCTATTTAGCAGTACACAAAGCAGCCGTTCGGAAGGCCATTCCTTCCTCCAAGTCCAAAACTCAGCTGTAACAGCAGGAGAACCAAATGAGATCTGGGGCCTGAGAGGCACGGAAGGGCAAGGGCTGGCACAAAGGAAGGGGAGTGAATGGAGATGACCGCTTCCCTCTCTACTGTATCCGCACCTCATCCACATTAACCTCGGAAGCATCGAGAACCTCATCTTAGCAGGATGAAGCCACAGTACTTGTTTAGCTTTATTTCTTTCAGGGCAGTGGCAAATTCCTTCCTGGTGTTATGGCCAGCCTAACTTGAACTCTGACCAGTAAAACTCTTGGCTGACATGTTGGGCCACTGGTTGGACAGTGGGTTGCCTATGAATGTTAAGATGTCAAATGTTTTTAAAAGCTGCCTGAGACAGGGGGTGGGTTTTTTTCTTTTTGGCCAAGTACTGGATTTCCTGCCTCACACAAAGTCAACTATAAAAACATAATAGCGTATCAGCATTTAGCATCCTTTTTCTTATTAAAGGTAAAGGTTCCCCTTGACATTTAGTCTAGTCATGTCTGACTCTAGGGCATGGTGCTCATCCCCATTCCCAAGCCATAGAGCCATCGTTTGTCTGTAGACAGTTTCCGTGATGACGTGGCCAGTGCGACTAGACACGGAATGCTGCTACCTTCCCACCGGGGTGGTCCCTATTTATCTACTCGCATTTGCATGCTTTCGAACTGCTAGGTTGGCAGGAGCTGGGATAAGCGACAGGAGCTCACTCTACCACATGGATTTGCTCTTATGACAGCAGGTCTTCCGACCTTGCAGCACAGAGGCTTCTGCGGTTTAACCCACAGCACCACCACATCCCTAATATTTCTTATTACCATACCATTAAAAGGCAGCCAGTGAACAGTCTAACCTTTTCATGCTGCCACTCCAATCCTAAGAATACAGGTGTTCCAAGCTGTCCTTCATTGATACCTCTCAGGGCTGCTACAGTCACAAGAGGAGACTTGTGTGTGTGTTTTGTACAGCTTCTGATGCCAACAAGAACATCTACCTGCCAACCTCATGTTGCTTAAGGCAGGCCCAAATGGCTTTACACTCTAAGAACTTGTCAGGGAAAACAAGCAAACTCCCACTCCCTAGATGATGAAATGGTGGCTTCCTCTCATGAGCTTCACTTTCTACTGCTTCCAAAGCTGCTTGTCTTCAACAGAAGAAGAAAACAGCAGCAGGACATTCTTTCCATAGAGGACTATCTGTCCGCAGGAATCATGGAACCTCCAAAGAAGTTCCCCTGCTTTCTCCAAGAAGGGCAAGGTGGTTGCAGGCTAATTCTTCTCTCAGTTTTCTGGCCACATATCGCTCAATACGGGTTACCTAACAAGTGGAAAAGAATGGTCGTTCTGGAGTTACCCTCTCTCATCTGCATGTCTGATGAAACAAACGAGGAAAGAACCAACTAAAAACGTGGATGTATAGGCAGGCCTTCCCTTCCAGTTAATTCCTGTCCTCTTTCCTTTTTCATTCTTTTTCTCTTTATTTGATTTACAGTATTTTGTATTTTTCCCATCTTCCTGAATTGTTTAATTAATTAATTGTTATAAATTTTTCTTGAACTTTTTATCCTTTATGTTGTAAGCCGCCTGGAGTGGTCGAAATGACTAGATAGGCGGGGTATAAATACAATAAATAAATAAATAAATGAAACTATTTATGAGTGAATGAAAACTCCCTTTCCGTCTATGTTCCACAGCTTCATTAAACTCAGGATAAAGTTAGCAAAGAAGAGTAGCTGACCTGGTGGGACTGAATAAATTGATGCATCTGTGACACAGAATGTAAAAAGAGTCCAGCTGTATCAGCCCAAAGGTCAATTTGGACTAGCACCTTGCTTCCGACAGTACCCAGCCAGAGGTTTCTGGGAATGTATACAAGTAGCATACAACAGCATCAATCCTCCCTCCCCACCATAGTTCACCCTCCCCCAGTATTTCTCATTTGGAGGGCTGCTGGTTCTGAATGAGGAGGCTCCTCTCAGCCGTCACTTAGAAAACTATGACAGTGCCTCACCTTATTCGACTTATCTTTGCTGCTGCTACTGGCTGAACTGAGAGATCTCATCCTCTGTTCCTTTTGTTCTTCCACCTCAGACTTCAGGTGCTCAATGTGGACCAGATAGGCCTGTTCTTGAGCTTCCCGACTACTTAACTTCAGTTCTAGGGCTTTCTTCTCTTTCTCCAGCAGGTAGAGCTGTGCCTTTAGTTCCGCCATTTCCTCCTGGCAAAGAAGGCACAGAAGAGCATGTTATTTCACAAAAACAGGTGTATCTAGATAGAACATCGAAGCAGGGGCCAATAATGCTGGTTCCTTAATATTCAGCTATAAAAATTTCACACAATGTGGTATTTGGCTTCCAACCGTGTATCTACACTGTTACTGTGGTGTGACACCACTTCAACTGTTGCAGTCGTAGCCTACAGAATAATCCTGGGATTTTGTTGGTCTGATGAGACGTTTACAATTCTTTGCTACAAAATTCTAGTGCTGCAGTCAGGAAAGTGTGTCAGAGCTATCTAGCAAAGAATTAAAGAAATCCCAAGATTTTAGAGGATGGAGCCATAGGAGTTAAAGTGGTATCACTTGTGCAGTATAGCTATTGTTTCTTTTATTTTGACTCCGATTGCTGTTGTTGTTACTGTTTTTGATTAAAAATCAAAGGCCCCTTTTAAAACAGAAACATTACAGTTACATTTTAAAATTAAAACCCCCAAATGTTTGGGTGTGTAAGTAACTAAATGAAGTACCTTCATTGCCATGAGTTCCTGCATGAGCACAGCATTTTCTAGATCCAGCCTCTGGCTGTCTCCGCGAGGCTTGACATCATAGCTGAGGGGATCAATATGGATGCTCTCTAACTCCAGCATGGTCAGTTTAACAGCTGCCCGATCATTCTTCAGTTGCTGAATGTAATCCTTTAACCTCTGTTCATCTTCCTTTGTGAACTCTGTGTCGCAACTGCTTGCTGTTGAACTAGTCGTGCTTGGAAGAGAGGGGAAAATATTATGGTCCATCTAGCTGGGTGTGTAAAAAAACTAAAAGAAACAGAGAAAAACATGACTTCTCAAACACAACGGCAGATTATTTAAGAAAATCCCTTAATTATTATCTGTAAAAGTGTTCTAAGACCGGATGCCCTGAAGAAGTGGTGGGGAAACCTCTCCCCATCTAAGCCCCCCAAGATAACTACTGCCAGTAAAATGAATGTACTAGGCCAAATGGCTTTAGAAGCCAAAACGATGAAATAGAGGCTGATGTACTTTGGCCACTTTGTGAGAAGACAATACTCACTGCAAAACATAAGAATGCTATGAGAAGCTGAATGCAATAGGAAAAGAGGAAGAGCAAGTATGAGAAAATTGATTTTATGGCCCTGAGTTGAATGAGCAGGCCTGTTAATGAGAGGGCCTTCTGGAGGCCACTCTTTCATAGGATCACCATATCTTGGAGGCAACTTGACAGCATCTAACAACAATAGTCTAAATTAACAAATACTCTAACATGCTATAAAGCATTTCCCAATGTCACTTGCAGGGGGAGGAATGAGCAACTATGACACACCCTATCCAAATTTGAAGTCCTTACATGCAGCAGGACAAAATGCTAAGATGTACTGTACCAATTCAGATTACAGCTGGGTAGTCACATGTTTAAGACGGCTTATAAAACATCCACCCACACCTATATTGACACACCCTTCTGCACAGAGAAAACTAGCCGAGATGGGAACTGTTTAGATTTGCTCCTCTTTCTCTGATGTATTAGTTTTCTACTTGTAAGGTGCTGAAGAATAGCCACCATGGAGATTACTTGAAAATGGAATCCCATGTCTGCATTCTGAAGTGGTCCAGTTAAAAGTCTACCATCTCTGGATTCCATGACATCACTTTGCTTCACATGTAGGCCAGCCCCTTCCAATTATGACTTAATCTGGTGGTCAACTCTAAAGCCAGTTTTTGATGCTACTGGAGAATACAGTACTGAAATATGGAAAGATCAGACTAAACTGCATTTCCACAAGTGCTGGATTCTGTTTTCATCACTATTGAACAATCTTTCCTATAGAACAGGGATTGGGTGGAGCTGGCTTGCAGACAAGAGAATACAGCTGTAACCACATGTCTCAGGTTTTGGCTTATGCTTAGAAATCAATCTTTGTAGTACAGGACATGACAACCTTGTCTGTTGGCAGCTGATTGTCAGAACCTAAAAAGCTAATGGAACATTCACTGCCTGTTCTCATGCAACATTCCTTTTCATAGGCTGTAATTTCAAACTAGGAAGAAGAAGAAGAAGAAGAAGAAGAAGAAGAAGAAGAAGAACAACAACAACAACAACAACAACAACAACAATTGGATCCTGCATTATAAATGGGGAGGGACATGTTTTAAAAAAAGACAAAATAAATGTTGTCTGTATTACATTATTTTTAGCGTATAGGAGCTGACTTCATTCCTGATTATCTGTCAACAGAACCATTGAAACAGGAAAGATTTGTAGAGGTTAATCGCAATCCTGTTCCCCATTCCTTAACATTCCACTCCTGAACATAATTACAACAACACTAAAAAAAGGTGTGTGTGTGTGTGTGTGTGTGTGTGTGTGTATAAACAACTCTGCATTTTCTATAACCCTGCACAGAGACAAGGCTGCCTGCTGTCTCCTGAGGACCTGTAATCAGCTGCTGGGTGAGGGTTAAGTCATCCATTAGCTGTGCCTGTCTGGAATGCTGGATGATCTCAGTTATCAGCAGGGGAATAAATCACTTTCTGCACTAGGTTGCAATATTTTTTAGTCTTTTTTGTTGTGTGTGTGAGAGGAAGAGATAAGAGGAGAGAAAAACACATCCCACGTTTCTTTGCCTAACCTGGCTTGTTCTCCAAAGAAAGCAGACCCTTGGTTCCCTGGCTCTAAATAGGGATGGCTGAGCCCTCTTCACTGCTAAGTTCAAACTACTGTGCATTCTAAAGAAATGCATCAGACCACCACCCGATGAACTGCCTGTTGATTTTGCAGATTTCCCCCAGCCATCTGCAACTAAAATGGAACATACACTGAATTGGCTATAATACAAAGGCTTACCTAAGCTACTCCCTTCCATGAAGGATCACATGTGAACTACCCAACTGTCGTTGCCCAAACATGGAAGACGCTTTACACTGAAGGGTTCCAGAGGTTGTATCTTCCCAGAATAGACCAATAACGAGAGCATTTAAGAGACATCTTGGGTATTTTTTGAAAAACAACATGGCTGCAAACGCATCGCCCAGAAACCACACAGAGCTTTTGTCATGAAGGGTGGAAAATTCTGGTTTCCTTTTTGCCCTAAACACCTGTGACACTAACACAGCATTATTCTGTGAGAAAACTATCATTTCCCAGAACAAAATGAAAGAACACTGAAGACACTGTATTTCCCATGGGGTGAGTGTAGATGTCCTTATAATGCTCCATTTTCTATGCACCTTCATATACCTGCATAAGCAATCCCTCTCCAAAAACTGTATCAAACGATGTCTCACAGTGTAAAGGATGTACTAGTTAATGATTTCAGTGTTTCCCATTTATTAGGTGCACATAAATAAATAAAGCTTACATGTGACATAGATTTTGACTGGGTGATTCAGTTTCTACACATCTATGCTCTGTGGCCATTAGCTAATGCACATAACCTATTAGCTAAAAATGATACAGACATCTGTCCTGTCCAATGTTTTCTCAAAACAGCTAATATTCTGAAGATGTTTGATAAAATGTTAGAAAAAGAGGTTCCATTATACTCTGACTCAAGAGTACCTGCATTTTGACTCTGCAATCAATTAACCCATTCTGTACCAAATGCTGTTATGAATGTACTTCTATACTGTATTCTACAAGGCAATATCATGTCTTCGTTAAACAGTAACGTTCATAACACGGAACACTCTGCATCTATGAAGAAACCCCTATGTCAGAACATCGACTTCAATATCCAGGGGGAAATGAAAGAGGGTTGAATGAATTTTTATTTGAAAAAGCCTGTCATGAGCAGTCTTTTCTGTTCCTTTGGGTAAAACTGCAGTATGTTCTTCTATACACAGAGTTTTGTTATAAAGATGTGTGCTTGGCGAAATGGATTATTTTCTAATTCTGTGTTTTAACTCTTTCTTTGACAGTTATCAAATAGACTGGTATACACCAGTAATGAATCAGCTCAGAATCTGTCGTGAAAGGACAAGGATCAGGGGCAGGCATACCACTCCCTTGCTTTTGTCACCTTTGGTGGGGACAAGGAATCTCGAAAGACCAGGCCTTTTGTGGAATAACTTTTGTTATTCACGGAGTTGCCTTAAATCAGAAGTGACTTGATAGTGCATAACAACAAGGAGGAGCCTCTCCTATGGGTATAAGTGTGGACGCACAAGGTTGGATTCCTGGGCATGCAAGTGGCTGGTTGGAGTAATAAATACCAGCTACACTGAATTTAGCAAGTGGGGCATAGGCCCACAGCTTCTCTCCTCAGTCCACTAAGAATAAGGTCCAGGCTTGGACCATCCATGTCCTGGAATGCTGAACACTTTGCTGGGAAGAAGGCCATTCTGTCGCCGTGCACCACCTGTGCACAATGAGTGGTGGTGGTTTTTAACCATGATGCAACTATGTGCAGGATCCAAGCACTAAGGACTGGATGTAAATTCTAGTAGTATTACATGCTCAGCTTACAGATTCTATTTGAATCCCAGAATATTTTATTCCTTTTATATTTTAGTCTTTCATTTGAATTCCTGCATCCGGACTTGCATCTTGTATCTGAATTCATGAGTATCCAAATTTTATTCCCGAATAACTGGGCTACAGCCAACAAAAGTGACTGCCAAATAAAACTTGTCATTCTTTCAAATACTGTGGGGTTTTTTTTTGCTACAACAGACTTAGCTGTCATCAGAAAATTCCTTTTATGTGATATTCTTCTCCTTCATCGTCCAAATATGAAGCTGAGGTTTCCACTGGGATAATCAATATGAATTGATTTCCAGAGTAGTCAGTCATGTCAATCTGTTACAACAAAAACAACTCAGTGCTTTGTGGCACCTTAGAAGTGAACTGTCCTTTTACAGCACAAGCTTCTATAGAGCAGAGTCCCCTAGATGCAACTGATGAAGTCCACGAAACTTTATGCTATGGTAAAACAGTTTTTCTTTCGGCACCTAGCTGTTTTCATGTATCTAGCAAGAGCTCCCCATTACATAACAATAATCGCTCCCTCCTTTCCCTGTCATCTCTCCCCGTAACCCTCTGAAAGGCAGTCAATTGTGTTTTCTAGGTGCATGATTCATGGCTCGGCACTTTCCATTAAAACAATTATGATTTCATAATACACCACAGATCTATTTCTAGTTTCACAAAGGAATTGGCAGACCTGCTGGGATGCTGCCAATAGAACAAACTGAAATGCTAGCTATTATTTTTATTCAGTTCACTTATAAAATACTGTAGTCTCTGTGCTGCCTTTTCCCCCTCATAATTTCCCATTTCACTGCAGTTGCTCCCTTTTACCATTTTTAACCCCTTGTCCGGTGGCTGCCTAGGCATTTATTCCCAGTAATTTATTTATTAATTTATGTATTTAACTTATATGCTGCCCCCACTACCCAAAGGTCTCTGGGCAGCTTGCAACAATTAAAATACAGTAATGTGCTCTGCAGTCTGACCATCAGCAACTCATTCCTAATGCTGAAGTTAAGTCTGGGTCAACACTTCCATTACAAGCTCCCATTTCAAGGGACTTCAAATGGCAAAGGAAATTATTCATTGTGACATGAAAAGTCCTTGCAAAGGAGAAAGGCTTCCCTCCCCCTGCCTTTCCTTCACAAAGTTTATAAAAGCAGAGCTACCCACCATTTTAAGTTGCACTACAGTGGACTATTGTTTGGCTGACAGATTGAAGAGATCTGTATGGCTGTGCAAAGTTGTGAGTGCTTTCATTCCTCAAATACCAATATTTTATTCCTAGTAGGCAATCATGGAACACAAGATGTTGTAACCTCGCTAGAACTAAATAAGCCGCCTTCTTGTCAACATCGAGATGGAAGATCATTTAAGAAGCTTAGGAACACTAAAAAGAGGTGGCATATAAATGAGATATAAAGTTATTATTAACTTCTTATTATTTAGATAGGCTGGTAATATATATATTACCAGCCTATCTAAATAATAAAAGTATATTCCCAATGTAGAGGCTTAAGTGAGTACATAATATCTACAATTTCTAATTCTAAGTCAAATGAAAGCTCTAGTATTCACCTTTTAAGAAGCCAAAGTCAACACTGACTATTGAAAGTATTCAAATAAAAAAGTTTGCAAAAGCGTCAGTAGTTAAAAAAAATTACTAAATAAGCCAGAATCCTATTATTCACACCCACCATGTCCTCCACTGGTCTATATCTCAACTTTAAATTGCTGCAAGTTAATATGGTCGCATAAGAATCTGCTGTCTCACACCAGTGGCATGATTCAGCCCAGAACAGCACTTGCCTACACTGACATTTTGATTTGCAACATTTTGTGGCTGATATTTATGTAAATAAGAGCAATATCCGTGTGATTTTTCAACATTTTGGCCTCATCTACTGATTGACTTCTAAATGTCTCATCTACCAATTGAGATTTTCTGTAGTTTCTGTTTTAGATTTGGTTGTGTTTTGTTTTATTTGTTTGTGTTTTTTCTATGCATCTTTCCTTTTACCATTGAATAATTAGGTTTGTACAATTAACACAATTAACCCCAGAGGAAAACTCTGAAGTTTCTTATTGGAAATCTGTGGTGTTTTCCTATAATATTGGTGAAGACCTTTTTCATTGGGCACGACTGTTTTTTTTAGTAAGAGGAGGAATTGAGAAATAAAGGATAGAGAAATCAAACAATAAGCATTTGGTCTTCTGAAGCATCAAAATCACCCACAATCCAGAAATGCATAAAAAAATATTTTTATACAGAATTTGTTGCAAATCTGAAAAAAAAAAATCCAGTCCCTGAGGCACTGCAGTAGTACACGCAGGCACGCATTCACATGAACATACACTTACACCCAGGCTGATTTAACGGTGTATAGATAAATACATGGAAAACAAAATGTTTCCTTTTGAATTCAAGGGCCTGGGGCGTAGTAGACTCCATGAGCCATAGGTACCTGGTGTGGCTGTTGGATGAGAGGCTTTCCCAAGGCTGAACGCTACAGCCAGTGACGGCATAGGCTCCTCCGCAGCTTCCATCCAACTTCATCAACAGGGCTTTGGCTGCATTCTCAGCAGTCTTCCTGCAGTCATGAGCTCTTTTGAGCATCTGGGTAATGTTTTCATCACCTGGCTGGTCCCCTGTTTGGTTTATAAAGCACTGATCAGAGCTATATCATTGGGGGGGGGCATAGCAGTGGTGCGGACAATAAGCATTAATATGAACAGACAGGCTTTTACACTGACATCTGTGCTCCCAATAGGACATTAGCACCTACTTAGTAGTCTGCTTAAATACATTAAGATTATAATGAAAGTAATTAGGCAGTGATCCAAAGTCAAAATCCCATTCAGAACTTGGTTTCTGACCTTTTCCTACCCTTTTTAAAAAAAGTCTTACAACCTATTATCAAAACACAGGGAAAAATGGGAATAATCACAGCAGCACAAACAAATGACTTCTGAAGAAACAAACACAGCTCCATAGTATACACAAGAAATTGCATGTGTGCGCTTATAGACCCTCATGATCCCAGGTAAGATCTTTTGGATGCAGACTCTTCATATTTATCATGAAGCAGATCAAAGTTAGTTGGTTATTTAAAACTATGTCCTCTGAACAGAATTATTTCAGTGGCTGAAATCACCAACAATTTTTAGTTCTACTAATCAGAACTGCTCTGCTTAATCACTGTTGCTTCTTTCCATTTCATTCTACCTATTCTGGTTAATCAATGGTTGCTTTTAATAATGATTTCACATTACATCTAAGTGACTGTCAGAAAACTGGACCTGTAAGTTAAAATTTTAAAAGAAATAGATTACAGCCTAGAAAACTGGTTAAAAATGGTACTTCTGAAATGTATATGCTGTATGTGATGTTATAAATGTTACATTGTCATTTTGATGAGGTGAAAAGGTCCACTGTAAAACAAAAAATGTGTTCTTATTGTGAATTATGGGTCTGGGAACCCATAAAAGGCCAGCTGTGAGAGAATGCGAAATGAGGGACAGGATGGCATGCTGGCTGTGACTGGATGGCAAGCCATTACATGATCTCCTGGTTTGAATGTGGGGTCCTGCATTGTCTTCGTCATTCATCCAATCAGGAGGTGGCTGAGATACCTAGATGGGAGGACCTCCCATGGTAGATCTGAGAGGCAAGTTTCCTCTCTGCTCAACCTAAAGAGAATATAATCATTCCTCTGCCATGCTATCCCAACCAGTTTTCACCTCACCATTCTCTATTCTTCTTCATTTGGTCTTTGGTGGATGCTCGCATGTGGTATTCGGTAGGGTATTCTACCATATTTGCTTGATGTGATTTATTACTTTTTTTTCTGTTACAAATCTGGTGGATGATTTTAGCATTGTGCTGGATACAGTTCTGAAAAAGGGCTTATGTGTATACTGTATCTCCCTTCAACAACTGGGGATCATGTTAAGGGATCCTGAGGTAAAGGCTTGTTCTCCGCTTCTCTTGCCACTCAGACTGCAAATTTCCTATTTCTTCCTCAACTTTACCCTGAAAATCATCTTGAACTAATTTCCCATCTTTATAGAAATGTATCTAAACTCAGGCTCAGTCTGTTAATTGGAGAATGCTGTTCTCTAAAGTACCAAATCACAGCACTAAAACTCGGAGCTTGAAAAAGTTGTTTTTCCTCCCTTTCCTCCCACAGTTCTTCTCTCCCTCTCTTTCTCTCTCTCTCCCCCTTTGGACTACAACAGTGTTTCTCAAGTTGGGGGAACCACTGAACTACAGCTACCAGAATCTTGCTGTTAGCATGACTACTCTGCTGAAACCAGACCAAAATATTGTCAAACATGACGAGAATTTATAGTATTACATGCATGTTGTAAATAAAATTGCACCCCTTCAAGTTTTCAAGAATGAAACATGGTCTCAGAGAGAGGGTTTGGCAAAATTGGTAAGCAGAAAAGGAACCCCCCCCAAAAAGGACACGTATTTAGAGGAATGTCTCCAAAAAGGGAGCTCAAAAGTGTTAAAGCGTGTTTGGCTGTCCAAGCTTTAATGCTACTTTTTTCATCATGCACAAATATCAATCAATTTTCTGCTAAAGCCACTTGAAATCATGCAGTTCACTTCAACATTATCTTGAATTACGAGTCTCTAAGAGTGGGAGGGTGGGAACCACATGAAATACATGGCATTTACAAATGTCTCAGCCAGCTTTGGTCAAGCATTCCTATATTGGTTAATATGTCTGGAGCCAAGAGCTTAAATCATTGCCTTCAATAGGCAGTTACTGCTCAAAGACATTTCCTGAACTACAGCCTATGGCTATTCTGACTGCTTACCTATGTTTTCATTTAGGTTCCAGTTCAAAATCCATTTGTCAAAAATTTCACTTGGCTGTTGTGATTTGAAGCAAAACATATTTTACTCCTGGGCTGAGCTGTCATGGGAGGGATTCATTATTGTGACCTACCCTTTGAGGGTGATGAAAGGCAAGTGAAGTACAGAATGGGATGTAGAAAGAAAAGGACTCGTGGAACTCTTACCTACGGACCCAACTCCTGCAGCTCTGAATTGCCCAAGAATTAGAGACTGTTCGCTTTCTGCCAGTGCTAAGAGCAGCTCATAGGCTTCAATGCACTGTTCACTGTGGAGAAAAAGAATTCAGTCAATATATGTATCTCAGGGGAAGACAACAACATGATAGCAGTAAAAAAAAAATAAGCAACAGGGAATTAAAGTCTGAATTCATGTCACTTCCTCCCAAACTGGCATCTTCTTGCAGTCTTGGCACAGTGACGCCAGCCAATTACTATATTTTTAAAAGTAATTCATCAATTCTTTTTAATGTAAATTATGACCTGATTTTTTAAAAAATGTACAGTTAAATATGATTTTAGCAAACAAACAACTTCTTATTATAAAGATCTGAATTGTTTTCCTGTATTTTTCAGTGGCTTTCCTTCTCCAATTTTTCAGTGGCTTTCCTTCTCTGATTCCATAGGTTTTCTGCATAAAGTTAAGTGTTGTTATCACTGGAATTGTATGTTTATGTGCCCATGTATTTTGCTTTTAATGTGAATTACTTACAAAACTAAAGATCTAGGTTATAAATTCAAGGTTTTGAGTATAAGAAGCATAAAATTGTGGAGCAACTGATCAGAACTTGGGAATGTTATTTTTTTTGGACTTCAAGTTTTAGAATTTATCTGCCAGCATGGCTGTATATGCAGGCATCACACAACGGCCTGTGTTTTGGTTGGGAGTCCTGCCCTCCTACCTGGTAGAATAAATGCCTCACCTCCAAAAATCCACTGCAGAAAGAAGGCAACAGGATGTACAGGTTACTTCCAGTGAGCATGCAGCAGGGAGGAGGGCAGGATGTGTGAATGCACAGATGATCACACAAAGATAAGCAACGGATTCTTTGCCATGGGCCTTGTGCATCATATAGTAGCATGCTGACTTACAAGCTGGTGGGTGAGGACCAAACTGTTGTTCTGAAAACAGTCTCCTTGACAGATGGCATACAGTAGAACGCTATGCATCCAGGCTGCAGAGGTGGGCCTGGCTCTGATTGAGTGGGCATGGAGACCAGTTATAGGAGAAGGATATTAGGTTGTACATCGGGCAAATGGTGCTATGACCTCTTTGGAGAGTCTTTGGGCTGAACTAGGAAAGCCCTTCCTGGGCCCATTATAGGCCAAGAAGAGTCAGTTGGTGCAACGGAAAAGGTAGGGACGCTGCCCTCCGCTGTAGTTGGTCTGTGTATGTTTCATGTCATTGGCTGAATAGTGGGTTTTGGTCTCCTACTCATCAAAATAAGGGACTGATGGGTAACTGTGTGAGAAGGAGGAAAATTAAATGTAGCCTTTGTCAGCATCACCCAAGGTGGAAGACATGTACAATCAGAAGCAGCGTCCGGTGATAGCAGAGACATAGGAAGGTTGTTGTAGGTTATAGCTGGTGTTGATTCCTGTGTTGCCAACAGGATCAAGGCCATTGGAAAAGAGCACACAACTGGGTGACTGACAGCACCTCTGAGAATACCAACAGTTTCAATGATGTTGGGGTTTAATGATGAGCAGCATTCCCAGATTTTCGTAGAGCTTTTCCTAAGAAGAGGCTTGGAGGTGTAACTACTAGTTTCAAAGCGCTGCTTTGAAAGACTTCTCCACAACTGCCCTTCTCTGAGGCAAAAACAAGAAGTTGGAGTGGCTGCCAGCACACACTATGTTACTGCTGCACTGGCCACACTTTCTAAGAAATGCTCTTGATGCCACAGGAGACAAGGAGGAGGCTGCAGTGTCAGAATAGAAAGCTGAGGTCTAAGATCGCATGGAAGTCCACAGGAGCTCCACAACATTGAGAGGGAGTCCAAAAGCAAAGTCATGAAGGGGACGGGGGTTGTCGAAGAGTAAGTTGATAGTGAAAGAAAGTCAGTAGAAAGAGAAGAACTGTTCTGAGGCTGCTGACAAGGCAGGGGATGGAAAGGAACCGATGGGGCTCCCACCAAAGTACTTTCGCTTTAGCTCTAGAAGGTTCTGATATGTCTGCACACGTGCAGGACTAACCTATATGTGTGAAGCACAGAGATCATAACAAAGAACCAGAAGTCATGTTCTTAATCAGTATATCTGCAAACCTGTTTGGCAAATACACAGAAACGTACAAATGATGTACAAGTAATTTTGCATCGGGATAAGGCAAAAGTAAAAACAAAAGTGAAAAACATAGTATATTATGTACAGCTAAAAACATGAAAACAAACAATACAAGGTAATGTACTGTCTTGTTTATTTTGTCTCTTGCATTATTCATGGACGTACCTGTATTGTAACGCAAGCCTGAGGGCTGTGGCATTGGATTCATATTTTCCAACCAGCATGCTCATCCGTTCTGCATTGCTCTTGCACTCTTCCAGAGTTATTGTCAATAAGTCATTTTGAGATTTTAAATGCTCAATGCGGCTGTGGAGAAGAAAATCATCTTTGACACTTCATAGAGTTCCTCCTGCACTCTTACCTTCTTTGAACAATTCTCTCATGGCCACAGTGTTATATTTCTCCTCCTCTTCCAATTTTTTTCTCAATTACATAGTTTCTGCATCATAATCTCAAATATATAGGTCCATTTCAGATAATATTTTAGACCAGTGGTTCCCAACCTTGGGTAATCCAGCTGTTCTCAGACTGCAGCTTCACTGCAGCAGTGCTGGTTGTGAAAGTTTCTGGGAGCTGCGATCACGTGGGTTACCAAGGCTGAGAACCACTGCTCCAGACCATGATTTTACTTCTTTGTTGTATAAGTTCTGCCTTTCTTCCACTGAGCACAAAGTAATGTACACTGTCTGTTCTCAGTTACATCCTCAAATGGACCCTTGTGAGGCAGGTTAGGCTGAGAGATAATCACTGACCAAGATTATCCAGTGAGCTTCATGGTTGACTTATCTCCTTAATTCCGGCCCAGTGCTACCGTATTTTTCTGCGTATAAGACTATACTTTTGTCTAAAATCTTTAGACTAAAAATAGAGGGTCGTCTTATACATGGAAGTAAGCTGAGGATAAAAAAACAAGTGGAGGGGAAAGCAGGGATCAAAGTGATCCTGCAGGGCTTTGATCCCTGCTTTCTCCTCCACTTGCTAAGCCTTAGCAAAAGGAAAGCAGGGATCAAAGTGCTGCAGGATGGCTTTGATCGCTGCTTTCCTCTCTGCTTTCTAAGTCCCATGGGGCTTAGTAAAAGGAGGGGGGAAGGATCAAAGCAGTCCCCTGGCTGTATAAGGGAGAAAGGGATCAGGGACAAGGTGGAGGGAACAAGGTGAGGACGACGCGAGCTGGAGGTGAGCCCCAGCAGTGGCGTTGGAGGGCGAGGGCAGTGGAGGCAGCAAGAGGCACCAGAGTGTGCAAGAGTGCTCCTTTGCCTCCGCCTCCTTGCATTTATAAAATGACCCTCAATTTTTCATCTAATTATTTTAGGGAAAAGTGTCATTTTAAACATGGAAAAATATGGTAGTTAAGCTGCTGCCAGCCAGCAGACACTCTGATTCAAAGTGCAGTAATGGCCAACTCCACTGAGAACCATTTTTAAATGAAATCATTTCCTTTAATCAAGCAAGACTGACAGTAAATCAGATGCCATCTTATGGGCAGAACATCAATGAGTGCACCACAGTAGCAAGGGCTCAGATCACTCCTTCACTATTCTAGTGCACTCAATACCACACAACTCTAGAAATGTGCTTTAATTCACAGTCTTGATAGACTGGGAGAAATGGTTTCAGTTAACATGGTACCTAAAGCACAGCGTTGACTGTCTGCTTCCTAGCATGGTGGGTCTTCCTCCCATTGATACCATCACAGCACCAACATCTCCCCTGCTTCCATTTTATGATCTAGTGCTAAAGGTGCCACAGGCAGCACCTACTTATCTCTGCTAAGATATCACACTGAACCATATAAACTGAAAAATGTGTTTTAGATTCCTCAGGAGACACCACCAGCTGTTGCTAGGATAATATGCACATCCAAACAAATCTCTTTCTGGCCTAATGCTGATGACTAAATTATCTTGTTGAAAGCAAGCTATTAATTCAGATTAAGTTCTTCTTTTCATCACCATATTTTTCCACATTTATATGCAACTGGAATACGCGTAATTCACACAAATCAAAACAACAGGACTTACAAGTTAATCAACCGCAAGCAAGACCTGAGCTAATTTTCAGACATTTTTCAGATGTGGATCTCTCTCTCTCAAATATTTTCTATGAATATATAAAACAGCAACTGACAATTCAAAGAAGATTGTGAATTGCACGGCAGGCTCCAAAGTGTTGTTATGTATAGTAAGAGAACAGGGTTGGGAAGACGGCAATCTTGCGCAGTTGCTAAAATAAACTTTACTCCATTTTGGCTTCATTTTTGTAAAATAAATAATGACATGGTGTAATATGTCATGGTGTTCATCCCTAATTTTCAGTCCTTCTAGGGACCAGATGATTTTTATTATGTCCTGATATGTAAAACCATAGAATTTAAAGCGGGTGTACTTTCTTTTTCACATGACTATATGGGAGAAGATCGTCATTTGAAAGGGATACCCACTAGAGTTATGCAGATCTGGTTTTGGACTACAACTCCCAGAATTCCCCAGACAGCTATGCAAGGAGTTGCAAAATCAAAAATCTGCACATTTCCAATATCCAGACTATGCAGAACAATACTCTATAGGAAAACATCTCATCTTACCTGTTTAACCGCTCAGTTTCCACTTCAAATTCTCGGATTTTGTTTTCAGAAATAGCAGACCCATGTGAGTAAAGTGTCTGGAAAATTTCCTGGATGTTGGAACAGTCTTGAAGAGAGTGTGCAAGGTGTTCTGCTACACTACTGGACACCTATAATGAAGTTGTCAGAAGCCTATTATGAATGGAGACATATATTTCTATCCTCCTTTGTTACCAACAGGAATTAGTAACTGAGAAAGTAATAACACCATCATTTGGGAGGGATAGAGAGACAATATTGTCAGAAAACTAAGATATAGAAGACATGAGCTCTACATAGTCAAAGCAGTTTGATGCCACTTTAACTGCTTTAACTGCTTTAATTCCTACAGAGTTCATAGTTTGGTAAGATACTTAAAAATCTCTCCTGGATAGATGAGTACAGTACACTCCTCTGAACAGCAGCATTAGCCTTCTCTGTTGGAGAATTCCAGGTACTTCAGCAAACCTTTAAAAACCTTGATAATGACTAGTAACAAATTGATAAACATTCACCTTTTGCAAATATCATTAGCACTTACCCCTATGCTGCTAATTTCCGATCCCAGGACCGGGCGGTCAGATGTTGAAGATTCTGACCTTGTCTTTGAGAGCTTTACCCGCTCAGCAACCTAGAAATGAGAAGGAAAGACCATAAAGAAGATCAGTGATTCATGTGTTCTAGCTGCTTTTGTGCAATCTAGCTAAAACACTTTCTCCTTCCACACATTCACTGTGTTTTAAGTAATCCTCTATTAAATTGTTTAATAGAAACCAGCACGTGTGTTGTGACTGAGAGAGGCTTAAAATCCTTAGCACTTTATCTCTTCCTGCAGGCTGCATTTTTTAGGCTCACTTAAGGTCCTTGAAAATTCCCTTGGCACTCTGGCTGATATTTCTCCGTTAATTGAAAGCCTGTACAGTCACTTTGCTCAGCAAAGGCTGCTTCTTCTAGTTAATGAGAGCTACCGTGGCAATGTACAACGGCTCACCTTGGCAATGGGGATGTCATTACTGCTGCTGCTTGTACTCAGTTCTCCAGTGCTAGGGTTAATGGGACGGTTTGCAGGAGTGAGACGGCCAGGACTGGATGGGCCAGTTGCCTGGACACTCTGTAACCGAGTCTGTAGTTCTCGAACCTGCAAAAACACACAGTATTAGTTCACTTAACACAAAGCAATGTGATTCCTTGTAAACTAGGTCTTCATCCTTGGCTACAGCAGCCATGTTCTTGTTCCAGCCTCTGGCCATAAATGTATATTTTAAAAATTGGTATTTTAGAGTTGTGATGTAAAACATTTCACTGATCACATACTTGCTACAAAGCAACTCCTTGTACTATCTAGTTTTTTGCACTACTGGCCAGAATCCTGTTGGTGATTTGTGCATGCAAAGTCAAATTGCAGAAGTTGCAGCAGCACATTAACGCTAATTAACAAGACATCAGTTATGCTTCTGGTTCCATACTTGTGCAAGTGGGCATGCAACCAGGAATGTAATCAGCACCGAATTAATTAGTACCAATCTGCCAACACAACGTACACAATTACTAGCAATTTGCTAACACAACTTACATGATATCACTTGCACATGTACAAATTGCCAACATAATTGTGGTGAAGGAATGTTTTTGTAAGCAGTATCTGTCTATATGAACAAAGTTTACATAAAGCATTAATAAATGCTTTCACCTCTCTCCAGTGATGACACTGTACTTAGGACGACTGCTGGTGAATCTAGGAGCGATTTTCTGATATGCAGGCCTTTCTTCTTCATCCTGGAGCCTTCTACTACATAATTCCCAGAAATCCTGATCAGCACAGATAGTGGTGAGGGCTTCTGGGGGCTTTAGTCCAAGAGCATCTGGGGTCCCAAGGTTGGGAACAACCACTGCACTATATCACACTGGGTATCCACTGAAGAAGTTTTAAATAAAATAAAATATATGTGCTGCTGGATGATGACATAATCTAGTTTACACAGCATAAATTTACATCAATGGTATTTCAGCCACAGAGTGAAAAAGAGAATTAGTGGGTTAATTAACACTTTGTGCAACCTTCTTGTGGCACTGAACAAGGACCTTCATGAATACATTAACTCGGAGAAAAGATAGATTAAATGACAAGTAATATAACAAGATCTCACAACAGCTGCCTCTCCAAACATATAACATTTTTGTATGTTCCACACGCAAGCCCCATAACTGTACCTGTACGGATCTATTTCAACAAAAGGACCCCCCCAGCTTGTGGTTTAAATTTCCTTGTATTCTTTTATGCTTCAGTGCACAAGCAGTTATAATGATTCAGCATGATAATCCAAAATGCCAGCTCTCCATGAATGTGGTTTAGGAAGTAAGGAAGCAGTACAAGGCTCACATGTTCTCTTCCACTACCCTTTTCCTCACACGGTGGCTTGAGAGCTTGATTCTTGCTTTCTAGTAAGCCAGAACTCTCTTACACATTGTAACTGGGGAACCCTGGTTTAATCCCAATTAATACACCAAAATAATAAACCAGGTTCTTACTATGAGAATAGGCAAGGGAAAGGGAAAGGACATGAAACTCCAACACTTGTTTCCAGGTACATAATGCCAAGAAAGATTATCTGAATCTGCTCATAGAGGGATATCTGGAATGCCAGTTAATCCTAATAAATAGGAATCATCTTGTCGGTCACCTCATGACATTTGTACCACATAAATTAAATTTACATAGATTATAAACTTTGCAGTCTAGCTTTGGCTGTCTTGTATGAGTGTGACCTTTTCCAAAACAGATATTTGTTTGATTTGAAGGAAATCCTCTTCTGTATTTGGTGTGGTTTTTTGACATCTATGTCCAAGCTTTCTAGCCAACAATTCCACATTCTGCCTAAGCTTTGGTTTATGAAGTCCTGAAACAGTCCAAACACCACTCAGTAAACTCTGTTTCCACAAGATACTGGACCAAACTAGTGAAGTAATTTGGAATAAACCTTTATAAGAAAAAAAAAATCTAGACTAACGTCATCACATTACAGTTACAAAGTAATAGACATGTAAAACAGACCGGACCTCAAAATTGTTTTTTGTTGTTATTGTTTAGTCGCTAAGTCGTGTCCGACTCTTTGTGACCCCATGGACCAGAGCATGCCAGGCCCTCCTGTCTTCCACTGCCTCACACAGTTTGGTCAATTTCATGTTGGTAGCTTCGGTGACACTGTCCAACCATCTCTTCCTCTGTCGTCCCCTTCTCCTCTTGCCCTCACACTTTCCCAACATCAGGGGCTTTTCCAGGGAATCTTCTCTTCTCATGAGATGGCCAAAGTACTGGAGCCTCAGCTTCAGGATCTGTCCTTCCAGTGAGCACTCAGGGTTGATTCCTTCAAAATGGATAGGTTTGTTCTCTTTGCAGTCCAGGGGACTCTCAGGAGTCTCCTCCAGCACCACAATTCAAAAGCATCAATTCTTCAGCGGTCAGCCTTCTTTATGGTCCAGCTCTCATTTCCATACGTCGCTACTGGAAAAACCATAGCTTCGACTATGCGGACCTTTGTCGGCAAGGTGATGTCTCTGCTTTTTAAGATGCTGTCTAGGTTTGTCATCACTTTCTTCCCAAGAAGCAGGCATCTTTTAATTTCGTGGCTGTGTCACCATCTGCAGTGATTATGGAGCCCAATAAGGTAAAATCTGTCACTGTCTCCATATCTTCCCCTTCTATTTTCAAAATACAGTAGTTTTAGGACTGCAAAAAAGGGATGGGTGAGAGGAAACTTGCAAAACCAGGAGGGATTTTTGACACACGATTTGCTTGAGACAAACACTTTACAGACATCTAGACACAAGAAATGCTCACACAAAAGAAATAGCTTTCCTCCACAAAGCAGTTTGTGTCACAAGGGAATAAAAAGCTTTTTTTCCTGCATAGCTAGTAGCAAACAAAAAAGGGAAATAAACATAGAGTCAAAAGGGGAATTTCCCCTAAATATCTCACTGTTTATTGAAAAACAAATGCCTCTGCCAATTCTTGTGGTGGGCTGAATGAAGACATGCACCAAGTTATGTTCCTCAAATGTGCAAAAAAACTGAAATAAATAAACTGAGCATAGACATAACATGACAGTTCTTCAAAAGAAAAAGAGAGAGAGAGAGAGAGAGAGAGAGAGAGACAGAAAGAAAGAAAGAAAGAAAGAAAGAAAGAAAGAAAGAAAGAAAGAAAGAAAGAAAGAAAACCTAACTCCATAATTCCAATGCTGATTAAAAAGCCACTAATAACTTATCAGGATGTGATTCCTTGCTATTTTCTATTTTTACTTACCATTCAATATAACACTTATTTAATCCTTTTTACATATTTATATACTTAATGTTTTAGCTTTTGTCTTTTTAATGATGTAAGCCACCTTGGGTCCTTTTAAGGAGAAAGGTGGTGTAAAAATATTTTAAATAAATAAATATAATTATATACTATAGAGGAACCTTTCAATTCATTTGACTAAGTTCACAGATAATGCATGTGATTTATCAACTTCAGGCAATTTGACACCAAAGTTACAGTGTTTGCATTATGTTGTCATAACTATGCCTTCCAATGTTTGTATGTTGTTTGTTGTTTTTTAAGTAAGTAAAAGAAGCACAATAGCATAGGTTGGCATGGAAGGTGATGTGAAAAATCTTTAAGTACATAAGTTCTGTTTTTGCCTCCACCTCCACAGATAAGGGATTGATTCATTTTGATCCAATTTTGTGTTAATTTTTCTTCTGCGTAGAACTTGGAGGTTGGAGAATGAATGTGGTATGAAACAAGGAAGCGTTATGCTTTCAATTAGCAGCAGAAGAATTACGTATGTAGGATAGAGGAGGACAGTAAGTGAGCCTGACAGATTAAAAAGAGGAATGCCATTGCAAAGGAAGCTGCAGAGTATAAAAAGCCTTCAGTGGAAAAGCAGAGCACAAGTCTGGTGAAGGGTTTTCCATAAATTTATGTTGGCATAAGGACTTCAGAAAAGGAAGCTCACATGTTCTGTGCCAAGAAAACTTAGGTAGAGAATGAATGGAGGGAGTGTTTTTCAGATACTGTAATGAACCATATCTAAAAAGAAGCCAAAGAGAAAGAGAGGTTACTTACCTGTAACCATAGTTCAAGTGGTCCTCTGTGAATCCACACAAATCGGTTTTCCTGCTCCTGCGCAGGACTTCTCAGAATATTCTAGAGCTTTAAAAGATGTGATTAGTAGGATGTTGCCTCCTGGCATGCATGCTCTGCCCACCCGTAATACCTTAGTTCCGAAAATGTCCACCACTGTCATGACTCTGACCGAAACAAAGCTCAAGACACTAAAGTGGCCGCTCAACAAATGTCAGGCACATCTGGCAGAGTCTTGCATGCCAAGTCATAAGCCAAAATAATGACAGAGACAATCCATCTCAAGGCTGTCTGTAAAGAGGCCAGAGAACCTTTCCATGGGCCATGGAAGCACACAAAGAGTCTGGGAGAAGTGAGAAAATTGCTCTAGTAATCGCTATAGAAGTCCGATTTCAGCGGCAGATAAAACGAACTAAGGTATTAAGGGCGGGCGAAGCATGCGTTCCATGGGGCAACGTCCTACTAATCACATCTTTTTAAGCTCTAGAATATTCCGAGAAGCCCTGCACAGGCACAGGAAAACCAATTTGTGTGCATTCACAGAGGTCAGAAAGAAAATTTACAGGCAAAGGGTGAATGTGGACGAGAGATTATCCTGTTTATATTCACACAAATACACAACGAACAGAGTGAGGCTAGACCACAACTTAAGCTTTTCTAACCTTATGACTAGACAGCTATGAATATATTCTCTGTATAGAAAATTCCTGCAGTGTTCATTTAGAATCTCTTATGCTCCAGTGGAACCAAAGTATGAAAAAGTTACAGTGGGGTCTTGACTTGAGAACTTAATCCGTATTGGAAGGCGGTTCTCATGTCAAAACATTCTCAGGTCAAATCTGCATTTCCCATAGGAATACATTGAAAACCATTTGATCCGTATCTGCTCTTTTCCGTCCATAGAAACTAATGGGAAGCTGCTATTCCGCCTTTGACCACTAGAGGGGGATATTTTGTTTCTGTTTTTCTTAGGTCAAGAAAGGAACAGGGAAGGCAGGGAAAATACAGTC